AAACGTTTGACGAGGCAGTTGGTGGTCGGACTAAAGCCAAGGATGCGTAAACTCAAACGTGGGATTAGGGTATGAAAACCCTAACCAGAAGACTCGGTTGCATCGGTCGCGTTAGGCTTCCCGGATGGGAACATCGAGATAATTGTGTTCATTAGCTAGAGACACAGTGTAGTATGCATAAGTGTCGCAAACAGTGGCGCTCCTGCATCTAATCAGTATCGTTGCAAACTTAGTCTCAATGAATTCGTCATTTTCACTCGCACACTAATATAAACGTTTACTGTGATTTCCGCACTCTGGATGGAAATTCCACACGAGAAAGACTATAAAGATAAGTGGTATGTCCTAAATCCACAGTTATTCAGGTATGATAATTAGCTTTGATTATGTACATTCACTTGGTCTCTGCCAATGTGTCAGGTGTGGCTTTTGTTCATCGTCAATGGCTAGTGTTCAGCTGACGCTTAATAATGATCCCTGTTCCCTCACCATACTGCGATCTAATTGATTTTTACCTACGGAGATGGGATCGACCTGTTTCATTGTCCTCAGATTTTCTAACAAGCATCAAGTGAATCAAAATGCCACTAATCCATTTTGATTGAAGAAGGGTCATGTGCGCGAGAAACCATGTGGTATTAGATGATGAGTCTTTTCAGAGGGACTTTTCTTCCTCCCCCCTCACTCACCCACACCTGCGCGCACGCGCACGATATACGCGTCTTTTTCATATTCACACTTTTCCTTTCCATTTTGTTAAGCTTGTTCTCGATGTTAGCCGATCAAAGGAAACTAATAATGGGATGGTCATTAGAGGTTGGTGTCGTATGTATCGCGTAAATTATAGATCATTGGATTTATAGGGTGTGACTGTAAGTTAGGAGACAAAGAGGAGTGAGGAAACAGGTTCAAATCTGTCCACGCCTAAGTTCCTTTCGATTTACGCAAATTTTCTTTCTGCTTGAAAATGTTCGGCGAATCATGGGGAAAGGCATGGGTTTTACGGAAATTCGGAAGCACTATCTTTTTACCACTGTCTGTACGATATTTCAGCTTGCAACCTAAGTGACTTTGTTCGCCTACTCAGCTGTTTTTGAATGAGCCTAGCAAATGATTCACTTTGAAGACAGATACCTTACTACTCTAATCTGCATGCTCAGTGCTGCTTTTATTTGATCAGTTCGCATTACCACTAATAATGCCCAATAAACTTGTTACTTCTTTTTATTTGATATACAGATGTACAAACAACTTTCAGGCGGGGAGGGGTGCTACAACCAATTAGGCACTACTTGGGAAAGCTGCTGGGATTCTAACACCCGTCCTCCGAGGTAGTGAATTCTGGACATTAATCAATTGATCACCGCCGGCCTTGAAAACCTACGGTTCATTCCAAGTTGAATGGCAGTTTGATAGTCGATTGTCAAAGAGTGCAATCTAAGATGAAAATTTACCACCTTCATTCATGAATGTGATTCGTCCAACCTTTCTGCTACATCTCGATTGTGGTAATCACGATCACTGCAATATTCGTTTTTTTCAGTTTAGACTCTTCGAACTGACTTGTCTATCCTAGTGTTGGTTTTTGTGCTTTTATACTTCTTAGCCTGTCCTGATTTTTCTGGCTGCACTTTTCCACTACCGCTTTTGGCTCCATTCATTTTTCTCGTCACTGATTTACTCAGGTTTCATTTTGGCTCTTACGTGCTGTGGTCACTTTGCGATGCCCCCCGGTGAAGATTGCATCAGATTTGTACTACGTGCACTTGGATCAGTGGATCGAGACGAGTACATTGGGTGTGGCTGAGGAACCGTCAGGTCTCATACCCAAACAGAACGATCAAGATTCTATGCGTCCAACGATTTATAGTCCACAGGTGAGTGCGCTTTTGAACGTTCATTAGGGTCTGGCGTGAATAACGTGCTACCCATTGGTTATCAGAATTGCAGTGACGAAATACTGTTCATTTTCTGTAGAATTGCGAATGCGTTTGTAATTTACCCCAAATGAAACAAACAAATTTAGTAACTAATCTTTAATCTTGCTGCAATGCGTTTATCAAGTCCATCAATTCGGTTTTCTCATGCTTACAAACTTGAATATGCAATTGTGTGTGTGCGCTAAGATTTAGGTCATAATGTTAATATGTCAAATAAGATGTTGGACTGGTAGACTAAGGGAGGGAGAGAGAGAGACAATTTTGATTTTAAGGACAAGGTTTTTGTTAATTGCGCCGGAATCGTAAGTATGCAGGCTATTCAACCATCTGTCTCGATAGCTTTGTAATCTTTACCGTGTGTCCAGTACCTGGTAGCAGGGCAGTGTATTTTTATGATCTGTGCTTATCAGTGGGGCCTCAGTAATAGATTGTTCACTACGGCTTTTTAAGCCTTCCTTTAAATGGCTGGGTTGTCGAAACCGACACAGTGTTTTTCAAAGACCGAACACATCACGGTTGCCACTTAAACCCAAGAGCTAGAAATGAAACTGGAATCGGCGAACTTGTAGACCGCTATCATAATTACACCTTACCATCGACGTTCAATCAGTGAAAACAGACATGACAATAGCCGATTTAAAGACTAACTGTTTAATTGGTGTTTTCTCTACCATCTTTGACAGAAAAGTCATTCACATGCATCCAAAACGTAGTTGGACTCACGTTTCGTTCGAGTTATGTTATATGTTTTGGCGCAAGAGTTCAGTGGTTTCGTGATTCTTTTTTCTTTACGAATACTATTTGAACCTTTTTCTCAATATCAGGTTCTTGTAATAACTATCGACATTTTTTTTATCTTTTAACTACGTTACTGAATAAAATTGCTGCGCACTATAGTCTCAGTGCGTTTTAGATATTTTCCGTGTAATCAGATTCAGTTATACTGTTCTCACCGCGCCCTTTCTAGACACAGATTGCAACTTTTTCAAGTCTGTGCGAATACTCGTCAGACTGAAAAAAGTAATGTGTCGCCTAGTTTATTGACTTTCGTTTTTTCAAATTACCTCGAATAGACAGAAATGGTGGCGGAAACTGAATGCACCTAATTCAATTAGTAGTCATGTCACTGTTCCCAATTGAATCCTAACTGTGGCAGTGAGTGAGGATGGTTTCACAATAAGGCCAATACATGCGTCTGTGATGCCGAACAAAATGGGAACCATTGTGCTATGTTTCTCAGATTTTCACTCCGTATTACCGTTGCTGTGCGAAGTTTATTTTGTTTTCTTTCATGTTCATTAGTAAAGGCTTTGATTTCTGTTAAATCTGTCGGTCACAAGTTTTGATGTTGTACACAGAAGACGCAACTACAGTACTACCCTCCCCCGCCCTTAGAGAAAATGTCGTTGGGGACGGTCGAATTAGTTCACTCTTGGAATAAATAAATGAATAAATAATACTAATAAAGAAGAATAAATCAACACAAACCTGTCTGATAGATGATTCCGGTGAGATTAGTGAGGCCCATTGCGGGTGAAATAAGATACAAATTAAAACTTTTAGTCGCAGTTTGTTTTCCCAGAATAAAATTCACTGCTAACAGTTGACCGTGTTGTTGTTGTTTCCCGAATACAGCTAGTTGTTTCTGTCTTCTATTGTTACGGGTGCAAAATCTACGCATGATTCTACTGCGAATTTTTCCCGTGTTTGTGCAACGCAAATTGCATTCCTCACCGGAACCTTTTCGCACTCAGGTATCTTCGTTGTCGATAATTTCTAAGAATCGTATCCGTATCGTCACCACAGGTGGTGTTTTCGTTTCACGGACAGACCGTGAATAGCTGAACATCCTACAGGTGGTTTGAGATCCTGACATCAAGCGATCTGAAACCAAAGCGGTCAATGCATGTATATCACTAAGAGCATTTGAAAATACTATTTGAGTCAATCTGTGCTCAGGCGTTCCAGTCAATACTGTTTTATTACCACATACTCATGAGGATCAATTGTTAACTCAAGGGAACCAGACCAGAGACTGAAAATGGCGGACTGTTCAATCCCCCCCCCCCGGTGTCTCGGTGATATAAAAACATGAAATCTATCTGGGTATGTAGTGTTGTTTCTGCCGACCAACTTAGTTTTTTTAGAATTGGCTTCGTCGGTGCTGCTTGGTGAACGTGGAGTGATAAAAACCGCACTAGTCGAGAAGAGTGGCGTGTTAGTATCGGTTTCCGTTTTCGGACTTTGCTGGGATCCGGTATTATGTGATGGTCTTGGGCGTAATTCGGGCGGACCCCTTTTTCTATTATCCTTCCACGACTGCAATACGCAGTTGGCCATTTCTATTGTTCCGAGGGTCACTTTCATTATCCTCGGGCCGTTTCCGTGATAGTTCGCTGAGCTGGGTAGACGACTAATTACCGTAGTAAGAACCTGGGTACAATTAATTAGTTCTCGAATGAAACTCCATTCCTTGCAATCGTTTTGTTGACATACGGATTTTTCTGAATCGTTCAGCTGAGGGACTCCATGAATAAGAACAACCCGTTTGTTCCCCGATTGCCGTGCGTTTGTTGAGTTGGTCTAGAAGTATTCTTGTTCTACACGAGTCTTTCTTAAGAAAGTAACTAGAGAGAAGAACTTTTTCAGGTCCTTATTTTCTGCAAATGTTACGCGAATCAATAGCGTGCGGAGACGACGGATGGCGAAATAGCAGCACGATTCCAACTGGGTGAACGTCGATATCCAAGTCAAGTCAAGAGTGCACTTTATTCATCCAATGTGGACAGAATTTTCCGTGAAAAGAATGTTATCGCTTTTGCTTTGGTATGCGCGCTATTAAAAATGAGCTTAGAGATGTGACAAATAGTTACTTAGGTGATAATGAATAGGACATGGAGAACGCGTAAAAAAATAAAGAAAATTTCGACGGGAAAATTTACATGAGACTGTATAAGTTCGTTTGATTTAGTAACATAAATCAGCCCAGCGATCCAGCTCCTCTACTGGTTTATCCCTCAGTGTGTTTGTTGTAAGCTCTGGCACGTTGGCGCAAATGCAGATGACATTGTACTGCTAAGTGAAAATCGAGGTAAGTTGCAAGCTTTTCTTGGTAATTTGAGTACCAGCGTAACCATGTGTAGGTATGCGCTTTACACCTTCAAAGTGTAAAATGTTACTTGAGTTGGTCCAGCACTAAGCCTTAATCTAACTGTGGAAGTAATAGACCCAGTGGAACAGTTTTACTATTTAGGCAATTATATCTCACCCGGTGGGCGCATCACGGATGAAGCGTCCGCTCGCATAGAGAAGGCTCGGTTAGTATTTGCCAACTTGAGACGCCTATGGTGTCGCCGCGATATCCGGCTATCCGTGAAGTAACGATTGTATGCTGCGGCAGTTCGGCCAGTTTTGCTATACGGCGTAGAAACTTGGCCATTAGGAATGCAGGATAGAGATATTACACCGCTGTCTACGCAGCGTTGCACGAATCTGGAGGGACAACCGGACGATGTATGCTAAAGTTAGGTGCTGAGTTTTTTGATTTCGCGGTCTTTCACTGGAGCAACATTCGACCTCCATAGATTATGTGGGTTGGGGCATGTGTTGCGGATGTCACTAAATAGGTCACCACGGTGCGCGATGTTTACTGAGGTAGGTAGTGGGTTGAAAGAAGCCAGGGATAATCAAATTCAGACGTAGCATGAGGGTATGAGAACACTAACCAGGAAACTCGGTTATTTAGGCCGCGTTCGGCTCCGCGGATGGTGACCTGGGATGGTCGTAACCGGTGGTAAGAGGCACCGAATGATATAAATGAATATCGTAAACAGTGGCGTTCGTGCATCTCAATTTCTTTGCCATCTGCTCTCAACTTTCCTATCCTCTTACTGCTTCATCCAAATGAACAGCCCAAATAGAGCAACCAAAACCGGCGCACGAAAGTGCATGGGTAATGGCTATACATTATACGAAACTGAAGTGTTGAGCCCCAACTCAAGCTGATCGAGCTATCTCAATTTTGTCATGCCCAAATGAACGTTGCTTGCTCAGTTTTTAGCGATCAGTAAAAATAGTTCAGAGTTTTAAGTACATTTTCAAATAGAACAAGGAGTGGGGAACAAGCTCGTTTTCAGTGATTCGTAGTCATGCCAAATACATCACAATAAATATTACGCTGTTTATATATAAATCGGTATTCAATCATAAAAAACGTAAACAAATGTTTCGGGAAAGGGAAAATAACCTCATGGGTTATCTGGGGCTAAGTTCATCTTGGGACCGGATATGGAATTCTCAATGCTCGCATGATTGTTAGGTCATCCGATCGTTGGGACCACTCGGAATGTGGGGTGTATAGGGGGTGGGCCAGGGGAGCTTAAGCGCCTGCACAAATTGTTTTTGGCGAAACTCGAAAATAACCAACTCAAATCTTCCATTCAGGATTGTGTTATATACACGATATGTGGATGATATTCCGTGCGTTATCAATACAACATCAGAAACAAATGAGCTCTTGAGCAAATTCAATGCTACTCACCAGAACATAATATTTACTTTAGAAATGGAAAACGACAACAAATTGGCATTTCTAGACGTAAATCGTAAATCGGACG